GGTTAGGGTTTAGATATTTAACAAAAATTAATTAAAAAAATAATTACGGGTACTTAAAAAATTAAGCTAATTACAGAATAATTATCTACAAATAAAAACATACATGTTGTGCTAATACAACAGTTGATATGAAATAGTCAAAATATACACATATTGTACAATTAAACGAGAATAATTAATAATAAAAATATATTTACTTATATATAAAATCAAATAATTATGTGATAATTTTTTACACGATAAAACGTACCAGTTATGCTAATACGACAGTTGATACGCAATAATTAAAATAATACAATAATTTACACAAATAATATGTAATTAATAATTCAACATAATACAAGAATTAATACGTAATAGTAACAATAATACGACGTATTATTTAAAATAATACGTAATAGTATCAGTAACATAACGGATAATTCCAGAAATTTTCACTACACTAAATAAATTTATAAATATTTAAATCATTTAAATAGATATAAAACCTTGACTTTAAATCATAGAAAATTGTAGAAATTCGAGAACAATATAAATACTCTTTTAAAAATCATAATTAAATATTTTAAAATACTAAAAAAATTATTTCAACTAGTATCAAAATTCATGGTCCTTACAAATGTACATCGTAGGGTAACGACGCCGTTAATGATATCGGAATCATATAGTTACAATGACTTGGTTAAGGAATTACACTGAGATACTAAAATTGATCCACAAGAGTACCGACTTAAAAATAATATGCAATTGGCTTATAACTTTTGATAAAATATTCGCAGTTGAGATCTCAAATGATCATCATATGAGTATTATGTTTAATTTGAGCAAGTCACAACCAGTGGTAGAATTGTTGATTAAAAAGTTTCCATGTAGTTCGTGCCAAATGTTCAAACCTCCAAGAGAATTCTCACGCATGTTATATTTGGGAGTTGAGCCTGACGATTTTCTTTCTTATTCAAGTGAAATAGAACGGACTCAATTTCAATATCTAAGTGCACCTTTATTTGGGGGAACGTCAAATGTTATGAACAATGAAGCCTCCTATAAAACTATGAGACCGTTAAGAGGGCAGTGATTGAAGAAGATGAAAGACGCAACGATTCTGAAGGTGAAGAATAAGGCAGTGCACCAATTGTAGCATGCAAATTATGATTGAAGATGTTGAAGAAAATCTAGAATGGCCTGATGAGGCTTATGTTAATAATGAATATATTGAGCACGAAGAGCCACCTCCCGACGAGTTTGAAGATAATGAGTGTATTCTTTCTTCCACAGGTACAAGATATTGGCATCGGCCAAAGTTCAACTGGTAGAAGAGATGAGGACTTCACTTTGAAAGTTGGAGATTTATTCGAGACTAAGGACAAATTGGTTGATGCTATTCGTGATTACTCCATCAAAAAGAATGTCAAATTCAAGCGAGTTAAAAGCAATCACACAAGTTATGATGCAACTTGTTTTATGAATACTGAAAGAAAAGGTCAGGCCAAGGGAAATGAAGATGATTATGTGTGTCCTTGGAAGTTATATGCATTTCCCAGAAAGAAACATAATAGGCATTTTAAGATCATAGAATACTACGGTGTTCACACATGTAGCAATCTAATATTAGAGCAAGATTATAGTGGTGCATCTGCCTCTTACATAGCGCGGTTGATTATGCCAAAATTAAAGAAGAAGCTTGAACTTACTCCCAGTAATATAATTGATAGTGCAAGATACGAGATTCATTGAGATATCATATAGTAAAGCATGGATATAAGATACAAGCCGGACGTTTGCGATCAGCACGCATAAAAACCACGATGGATGAAGGATGGGAAGGAGCTCTAAAGAAAAATAAGTATGGATATTGCAGGCAACCGGGCCATAATAGATCTTATTGTCCTACCAATCCAAATAGATAACAATTAATGAGTACAATTTATTTAATTTGTAATTTTATTCTACTTCATTTGTAAGTCAATGCTTACTCTTAAATTCTGTAATTTACTTCTATTTTTCTTTATCATATGTCATAACACTGACACATTTTAGCTTTATGTGTGCAGATATTTATAGTATTCAGGGGGGATAAATAACATATGAGGTCCTATATGGCCAAGATCAACACCGATCAGCGAAGATAGACTCAGGAGAGGTAATTTTTTTTTAATTTTTCAATGGTATTACTGTTACGTGATCATTTAAATTGTTTAATATATGTATAGGCCCCAAGTATTACTATTGTTGATCATACTCATGCACATTCGAGTTGGGATTTGACTGATCCACAGGTCCAATATAATGTTCAGCTAAGTAGATTTTTTTGAATGTTCACAAATAAAATGGGTAAGACTCGATTGGTCTCTCTTGACGGCATTGATTGAACGATGGTATCCTGAAACAAATACATTCCACATGCATCAAGGAGAGTCAACTATTACTCTGCAGGATGTAGTGGTTTTATTTGGCTTCAAAGTGGATGGAGATGTTGTTACGGGTACCGATGACTTCAACTGGAGAGGAGCGTGTGAACGATTACTTGGTCAAGCTCCTAATATGAAGGGTGATAAGATCAAACTCGAGTGGTTACGAAATAATTACATGGATGTACCGATCGATGCAACTGATGAGATCGTCAAAAGCTATGCCCCTGCGTATATACTTCATATGATCGGTACCATTCTATTTCCGAATTCAACTAAGGATTCAGTGTATGTTAGATGGTTGCCACTTCTTGAGGATCTTGAGGAGTGTGGAGAATTATCTTGGAGGAGTGCAGTGTTAGCTTATCTCTATAAAGAGATGACAAAAGTGGCATTCGTACAAAATAAAAAATTCAAAGGTTGCCTCACTTTGTTGCAAATATGGTTATGGGAGCAATGACATTTGGGAACATCAGATTTGAGGGAGACCCGCGTTCTAAATGGTCAGATTCCATTAGAATGCAGGTATATTAGTTTTTAATAGATATGATTACATGTAATTTATACATTTATTTCAATTTATACTAAACATTTGTATATCAAATAGATGGAATGTTTCCAGATATTGGCAAATCTCCTCAAAGGGTCATTACAAGAACGAGCTTGGTCAAATGGAGGATGAACAAGTGTAAAATCATAATATCTAACTATATTCAATCAATATATCATATGTTATTGATATGTAAATTTTCGTAATTTTCTTTATAGGTCAAGTGGATACCCTATGAACTGGTTTTAACTTCATTACCAGATATTTGTAGATATGGTGAAGATATATGGCGTGTCAGAGTACCGATTATATGTTTTGATATTGTCAAAATGCACGTGTCCAATCATGTGCTCTAACAATTTGGATTAAAATAACATATTATAGATCCTGTAGAAAGAATAGAGCGAAATCCCTAAAAATGAGCACATATCATCAAAATTGGGAGATAATTCGTCAAGCTTACACTGAGAATTGGGAGTTGAGGGAGGATAATGTAGTGATGCAGAGAGCTGACGCACCATAACTAGATGTGTACTTACGTTGGTATTGGGGGATTACTCGCCGATGGATATTTCGGGAGAACAAAGCACCTAAGAGTACATATCGAGAGGTCTAATTGAGAGAGAGTTGGAAAGTAGTTAGGCAAAATATACAATTATTTTGTGATTATTATTTTTATTATCATCCAATTGCTAATAATCCTCTTCCGTTCTTTTTTCTTATAGGTACAAGAACTCGATGAGGTTGCTTTCATTGCACATAATGCATTGAGATCGACTGCCAAGCTAGGGGCGAGGAATGCATTTGGTCGCATCATAGGAAAGATTCGGTCCGCTCTTAGAAAGACATGCCATGCAAATCGTGGTGGACGTCAAGAACGACTCATAGGGTACGAGCGTCGACGGGTCCGAGGACACACGATGGCGGGCTCAAGTCGTGCACATGATAAAGCCGGATGTTCACAGTAGGTTCAAGTCGACAAGGATATCATGCGCTCACAAGTTCATACACAACCGTACGATGAGATCATCCAAGCTCATGTTGAAGGTGAATGAGGAAGGAGGAGAGGAAGAAGAGGAAGAGGGAGAGGAAAGGGAGTTCTAAATATTTGCTAAATTTCGATATTGCTTGTTTTATGATGTTTATGTTAGAAATGCTAGTTGGACGTTGTGATTATGATAATTGGATTTTTAGTAAGTGAATTACATATTATATTTTTATTTGAAATTGGTTATAGATGTAATATAGATATAAAGATATGTGTTTATTTGTAATTGAAATTGATTGTGGATTGATGTAGGTGTACCAAGAGAGTGTGTTAAACTTGACAATTTTAGTCAATGATTGATATATGTTAGCAGGATAGGAGATTTTCCAGTAAGTCTGTGGGCTGGAAGGGTGTCTGCCAAATGGTCATTTCGTGAACCGCATGGCATCTATCTGCCAAATGGTCGGGGTTGGGAACCCCAACCATTTCGTGCACACGTCGCAAGAATCGGCCAAATGGTCGAGGTTAGGAACCCCGACCATTTGGTGGTGCGTATCGGCCAAATGATCGGGGTTGGGAACCCTGATCAAAATAGTCGGGTTTCTAAACCCCGACTTTTTTAGCTCTGCTAATCACGCAGAGCTTTTGACGGTGGCAAAATGTGGTCCTAATTAGTCGGAGTTGCCAACCCCGACTAATTAGGAATTTGATATTTTTAAACGACCCAGTTTCTGGCCATGATGCTGATGTGATCAAAAACTGAGTCGATTTCTATAATTAAGATAGGACTGGATCAAATTTTGAATTAAAAGTGTGGATTGGATCTATTTTGAAAATTTCTTCCCTAAAAAATTGAGGCACAAAAAAAAAAGATGCAGAATGAGCAAAGTCAACTGTTTCTGAACGTATTTTGAGTCTGAAAGAAGGAATCACTTCAAACTGACAGCAGGATAACAAAGAAAACAAATAAAGAGATTTAAATATAAACATAGAAGACTAAAAGGTGAGGAGATTACGAGAGGAAGATTCCATAAATAATCACATAAGGAATATGACCAATGTACATGTAATTTGATCGTCAATATTGTTTGAAATAAATAATGAATATACAAATAAAAATTGATTTGGGAAAGGTAAGAATACATTGAAAGGATAACACTATCTAAAATTTAAATAAAAATAAAGGTCGAGATGGAGTAAATATCTAAAAATGCTTACAAACTCCAACAATCAGATGTTATTTGGATGATTTATCTCCGATTTGACGAAGTGTCACTTCTGTGGAAGCCTCCATCTTCACTATTTTCGTATCTAGCCAACAAATGCTTGTTATTCAAGTAACTTCGGTGAGAACTTGACGCTTGCTGACCCACTTTATGATCCTGAAAGAGACAAAACAACACAGGTTTAAGCAGAGAAGCTATAAAAAGTGTTTGAAACAGAAAGTGGCCCCTTAAATCATTTTGTAGGTTGTAAGAAATAATTTGGCATACATCACGGAATAGCAAGTCATCCATTTCAAGCATGTGGATAACATTTCCCATTTTAGGTCGCTTATGAGAATCAGGATCCACACATCGAAGGGCAACAAGAAGAGCTCGCTTAAGAACCTTGGAGGAAGGCTTAATGGGCATTTTAGGATCTACTACTTCCTCAGCTTTCCTTTCTCCGACCATGGTTTTTAGCCATTCTACCAAGTGTACCTGCAAAATCAATTGAAAGTTTTAATAAGCACGAGGTTTGACCTTCAATTATAGTCGATGATACATGAATAAAAAAATATTACAAAAAAAATTATATCCTCTTTTGATCTTAAATGTTACAAAATATAACATGAAAATGACTATATGCGTCCTTTACTTTGAACCGATCCTAGGATACCCATGTTTGTCGGAATGTGGATACATAAATAAATTCAGATGGGACTATTTGCATCCTTTACTTTGAACAACCTCCAGGGTCCAAAGATGGGATTATTTGCCTCCTTTACTTTGAACCTCCAGGGTTCAAAGAATGCTGCATCTGATCTCTAGAAAAATTGCTAGGAAAGTAATCATGCTACAGTGACATGGTGCAAAATTTGGGGGAAGCTAAACTCTGTCTTTTTAGCTGCAGGTTTTAACTCAACAGAATCCCCTTTCCGTTTTTGCTCTTTAGCTTATAGCATCCTTTGGACATAAGGCTCAAAAGTTCTATCATTTTCAATATTTCCTTGTTCAGGAAATAGTGCAATTGGCTGGAATTACAAGCACAAGGAAGGTCAACAATTTATGAAGATATGCTTCATTAGTTTTTATACTATTCTTAAGTTCTTGTTCAAATCAAAACCTATCATGAAGAATTTTCTAATTTAGTATTATTTACAATTATGATATTCATTAAGAAACTATTAGCAAAAATATTAAGGAGCCTCTCAGCTTTGCAACATGCACCAGATTTACTGAATTATAACCAGATAGGCACTATCGCTGTGAAAGCATGTTCTTTTATGTATGCAAGCAAAAAATGGAGTAAACCAAGTTGCGAAAGAGCAACCTCTGCAGGCGGCCGTCTGTAATCCACTGGAGTTCTCCCTGATATTATCTCCATGATGAGTATACCAAAACTGTAGACATCACTTCTTTCATTTAACATACCAGTGCTAGCATACTCAGGTGCTACATAGCTGCAACAAAGTAAGACGCCCACATTAATCTATGACTTCCACAAAAGAAGCATATAAACAATACTACCATAAAGTTGACAGACTAACCCAAATGTCCCCATAACACGAGTTGTCACATATGTCCTCTCAGAACCCAAGTGTTTGGCAAGCCCAAAGTCAGAAATCTTGGGATACCACTGCCGATCAAGTAATATATTGCTTGCTTTAACATCTCGATGCACAACCTTTGGTTCAAGCCCCTCATGAAGATATGCTAAGCTGCAGACGTGTTTGCAAGTTTCAGGTTCAAAATCTTGAGGGAAAAACATATATATAGCTTATTTCTAACGTAAAAATGAGAAATTAGAGTTAAGATGCCATACCCTTTTGCCGTTCCAAGAATAATGTTCATCCTAATTTCCCATGTTAGTGGACTGACATCCCCAACATCCCCATGGAGCCACTGTTCTAGATTACCATTGTCAACATATTCATAAACAAGCATCCTAACAATAGGAATCACAAACACAAGAATTAATAAAGTTTCTTATAAAGGTTGTAAAAACGATTTAGAATTTATTAACTAGTCAATCCATCCAAAGGATACAGTATTTGTCGGCAAGCAGTAGATCTTACCTATATTCACCCTCAACGCAGTAGCCAAGCAATCTGACCAGATGCTTATGTCGGACTCTCCCAATCGCTTCCACTTCTACCTTGAACTCCTTTTCTGCTTGGCCCCTGATCCAAACATATTAGAAGATATTATCGATGCTACTCAAGCCAGACTGGACGAATTATCTGAATGCTAAACAAGAGTAACTAATAGACATCGAAACTATAAAGATCAAGGATAATTAGCTAAAGCCTAACATACTGCAGGTTTATCAGCACTTTGTACCGTATACTTGCATAAAATGTATTAGGAAGACCACCTGACAAAATCCCAATTATAAGACCTAACATGAATCTAGGACGGAAAACTTGGTACTTCTTCTATCAATTTTCTTCTCAAGAATAAGGGGAAAGAAAGTGAAGATCAGGCAATTTTGTAATTTCAAACACATTTGACATGGCAACCATGGAAATTTTTCTAGGTAAATTTTAATAGAAAGCTATAAGTGTGATAATGATTCCACAAAAGGACAATGAAAAATAGATTATGAAAACCAACAAACAAAGAGTAAGATAAAGGGGACATAAATTCAGAAACAAACTGTTTGAGAAAAATCTAGTTTTTACAACAAATTTAGTATTATTTGAACTGTGCATAAATTAAATCCATAACTGGACGTTCATCCATCCACATAATTACTAATCAGGAACCAGAAATATCAGAAAATCCTATTTATTATCCAACTGTACTTGCAATGAAGAATATCCACAAGTTTATCTGAACAATCCAATATCTCTGCAAATCCAAAATTGGTCGCAACTCTATATCCCAAAATATATAGTGTGCCCATTTTCAGACCAATTCACCTCTAATATTCTAAATTAAAACCAAGTATAGACTAATTTAATGAATTACAGCCATGTAAACTCTTCGTGCAGATGATCATCGTACATTCCAACAAGTCATTATACGCAGTCCCAATGAACCAAGATTCAAGATTACACTGCTGAATTCAAAATTATCACAAATCAAGGATCAACTGAACTGTGCAATTTCTCTAGCTCCTTATATCTTGTCCAGCGTTTCCGTGTTCTGCTTGTCAGAGTTACAATTTCTTCACAAAAGTCAACACCAAATTTGAACTGTTTACTAAACCCAGGAATACTGGAATACAATAGTGAAACATAAAATATATGCTTTTAGCATAGCTTTTCCCTCAATTTTCCAAATCATAATTGTACTTTAAAACGTGACCTTTACTCCAAATCTAAAACTCACTCAAATGTGCATCCTCTAATTCTCTATAAGCCACTCATCTAGTCCAAATATCCAATCTTTATCACCAACAAACTAATTTTCCAAGACAAAAGTCTGTCAAACTTTTGACTTTTGTCAAAAATCAGGCACCAACCCATTTTGTCTACAACTAAGCAGTCTTCTGCTTATCAGACTTCCAATTCCTTCACAAACCTCAACACCAAATTCGAATTGCTCGCTAAATACACAAAATACATAGCTAAAAATACAAACATACGCTTTCATAAGTTTTCGCTTTACTCCAAATAAAGATTACACATCAGAACTCAACCTTCACACCATATGTAAAACTAATTCCAACGATCATCCACTAAATCAACATATCTAATAAAAAGATCCAATTTTTAACCCCAAACAATAAAAATCCCCAACTGGGCACCCCTAATTCACTACAAGCCCACAACAACAAAAAAAAAATCTCAAAAAGCCAAGAAGTTTACCTGTTATTGAGCAAATTCTTGATAGCAACCATAGTCCTATCAGCCAACACCCCTCTATAAACAATCCCATACCCACCCTCTCCGATCACATTCTCCTCCGCTAATCCCCCTGTCGCCTCCTCCAGCTCCCTTAACGTGTACCAGTGGCCCCACCCCAAATGCGAAACCTGCGGTGGGCCCCCACTCCTCTCCACTCTATTCTCCCCCCTCTCGACGTCGATCTGAACAACGTTCTCCAATTCAATCTGCTTCTGACTCGGATCGATCTCGAGGATCTCTTTGGAGAGAGGAGGGGTTAGGGTTTGGAAAACCGGCGGTTGATGATTTTGCTTCTGATGTCGATGTTTGACTGCTTTAGGATTAGGGTTAGGGCTAGGTTTGGATTTCCGGCGGGCAGTGAGGCAGAGGGACAGGAGGAATAGGAGAAGGACGATGAAGGCGCCGGTGACGATGCCGATGACGACGTAGAGGCGGAGGCCGAAGATGGAGGTGCGCTTGGAGAGCTCAGTGTTGATGAAGGAGCTGCTCCAGATGGACATTGCTGAGATTTTGGAGATCCAGAGAGTGAAGGTTGGTGCCCTTTTTTCTTTTTTCTTTTTACAGAGAGGGGGTCGACGAAGGAATAAATGAGGGGTGAGAGAGTGACAGCTGGTTTTCGCGACGTTGGCAAAAGCTTGTGCTTCTTTTTTTTTCGAGTGGAGAGAGCTACGGGCCAACTTATGACAGGGACCCACATCTGCGCTGTAGCTGTCTTTACCGGATCACGACCAGACAAAGAGAAATTCACAGGGTGAGTTTATTTGATTCTATTTTCTCCCGGTTTATTTCTGTATTAATTCTCAGGCACGCGCAATACGCGTAAGAACGAATTAATTATTAGCGATTTATGCTTCATCTTAGTCTTGTGATTTTTTACTGTTGGAATCATGACATACAACGCAGCGAAAAAAGCATATCATAACTATTAATCAAAATTAATTAAATATTAGAAGAATATCTGAAACGCTTTCCGAATTTCTACAATAACATGTCCCGAGATCAATCCGAAATAGTTTCCTCAAGAGAAAAAACCTTCAATTGAAATCCACCCGTCACCGTATAGGAGCAATACTGAGAGATAGGTTCTCAAAAATCTATTTCTTCATATTATCTTCATAAGATTTTCAATCTCTTCTCTTAACCTCCCATAAGGCTACATATGAACCCTATTTATAGGATTACACTAGTCTTAGATATTTTAACTTTAAACAATTCATAATTATCTAGAATTCTATCCATAACAATTAAGGATAGAATAGATTTGTTCAAAAACTTTATCCATAACAATTAAGGATAGAAATAGATTTATTCAAAAATTTTATCCATAACAATTAAGGATAGAAATAGAATTGCATTGCATGTATAGCTCTTCTAATGACATTAGTGAGACCAATTGGGTCTCATATCGAGAACCAATTATTAATCAAATTAATCATTTTAATTTAACAATCAAATCCCTATCCGACCAATTGTTCATAAAAGCTCTTCCATAATATGAGATTAATTATTAATAAATAATATCTTACATTCACTCCCTTCCAGTATCATTTATTTTAGGCAACTCTTTTAAGCAGGACAACTCACCTATTTGCTCATACCTAAATTTGCAATTCCCATGAACATAAATAAAAATTATTTTAAAACATCAAAATATTTTATTTTTTTATAAGAAAATAAATTTTTAAAAATATTTTCAAAAACACCTGCCGGCAGGAATTTAATAGCTTCATGGGAATGCATAATAATAAATTAACTCATCATAATGAGCATACTGAATCCTATCTAGATATCCATTATTTTCCTAAATGAAATTTAGCAACCCAATGTTTCAGGTTGTGTAGCGCTTGCTAAACAAGCTTAACCATCACATCAAAGCATACTAAATTATCAAATCGAAAATGACAATATCATCAAGTCAAAAGGACCATGTAACAATTTGAACTCTCTATCTCTTAGGTGACTCATCTTAGAGAATTCAAATACGGTCTAGTGCTACACACATCATAATGCGTGCTTATGACATACACCCGGAGAATCTCTATTCTCGATGGTTGAGACTCACCACCATATCTCATATATCGGTGTCATGCATAATAACCTATTATAACAAAGTTATCATTTACTAGTTATAGGTTAAGCACAAATTTAAGAAATTTCTAAGTTAGATCATATCTCCAAGCAAGTGACCATCACAGTGCATGATCTAACAAAATAACTTCTAAGGATATATATAACAATTATATAAATAATAACCAAATTATGTGCAACAATTAAATTTATTAACATTACAATATTATTACATAATTTATATTGGATGTTCAAGGGCAAATTATTATTACTATTCTAGCATTTACTTGGTGCGTTGTTTGCTTGGATTTATGTAGATAATAAAGCAGATTCTCACTGACAAAAAACATCATGTTTGTCAACCAATATAGAAAAACTACTCACATCATTTATGAAACTAGATTTTTATATACGTACAATGCACATCGTTAAAATAGCATGATTAAGTATTTTAAGCTTATTTTCTAACTAAAATTTGTTTCTCAACTCCACGTTAATAGTTTGCGCTTACTTTTATCTCTAAACTTGTATATCGCGATTATTTTTTTATGTTTGTTTAAATATGCTACACCTAATTTAAATTTTCTTGTTGATATTTGAATTGAAAGAAAACAAATATAATTTGAAGCTAATTTGAATTTTTATATTATTTTAACCGACATAAAACCAAGCTTTAATTACTTGAAAAAGTATAGTGTTGTAAAAGTGAAAATATTAAAATAGTGTTAGGTGAATATTTAAAACCAATAAGGAAAAATGATTGATTAAAAGTAAAATAAAACGATACACAAAAGAATATGAGGTTTGTTCCTAATCATTGACTGACTTCATAAACAATTATAAATTAAATATTAATGCTAACTCTAGTATATTTTTATATAATAAAAACATCCACATAAGTATATAAAAATACTGAAAAACTTCATGGAACTCTGTAGGCATCAAAATTTGCCTATAGATCCCAAACACAATTCAAGACTGAGAGAAGACAAAGAACGCCACCATCTAAGTCAAAGAAGAGTAGCCAAAGCAAAAAGGAAGCAAAGAAAAATACAAAACAACACGACAGAAAGACTTGGAGCTGTCTCACAGTTGGTTAGACAACATTCATTGTCTCGTGTATCCGAGACAGTGTTCACTGCCTCGGATACGCGAGACAGTGAGAGCTGTCTCGCCAACTGCGAGATAGCCTCTTGTGTTTCCTGATGATTTTGTGACTTTTTGCGAGTCCACGTGGCTCCATAACCGCTGGAAAACGTTCATTAATATTAATGGACGGTTATAGCCGTGAAATACGCCCACCACCCATGAAAATTGTGATATTTAATGCAATTTAAGTAGTGGGATAACGGTTACAAACTGGCTGGAACTGCCTCCTTTAGCTGAGACAGTAAACACTATCTACCCAAAGGAGGTAGTTATCGTCAGTTGTTTCAACTTCTTTTCGACGGTTACAGCTTCCAATGGCTATAAATACCCCTTGGCACACTTGTGCACGAGGTACGGAGGCACTGACGGAGAGCAGATAACAGAAAGAACTTGGCATTTGGCAAACTTTGAGAGTAAGAGAGAGTCCCTCATCCGCTTTCAAGCATCTTCAAGAGTTCATCAGTGTTTCCTCAAGTTTAAACTTGGATTTGATCTTGAGAAGAGTATCTATCTTACCTTGCTAAGATATTTATTTCATTTCTTGTTTCCACGTCGAAACATCAACTCTCAACCTTCTTCGTTTCCGACTTGGAATGTTGATTCGGTGGTCCACGGATTACGCATCCCCGGCATAGGTAAAGATCCCACGCAAGCCGAGGCTACTACATAGGAGTTTCTGCATGTGTTTCTAGGAAACACAAATTTTGTTTCATTGTAAAGAGAGGGAATTTACACGTGTAAACCTCATTCACTTGTTTCTGTTAAAACATTTTAATGGAAACTACAACAAAAATTGTTCCCGATGCAAACACGCTAGCGACCACAGTGGGAGTCAACAGTCTCGGCGTCGAGACTATCGTGTCGCAGCCGATCAAGATTTCGGTCGACTCAACGGTCGAATACAAGTTTGACCAAGCTAAGTTCGAGGGGTATCTCTCCTCATCTTCATCAAGGTCTTCCTCTCCCCGCAAGTACAGGAAGATTTCATCTTCGAAGAAGGTTTTTCGGTCTTCAACTCCGATGAAGGCCATGAGTGATGACTCTCGCCCAATAGTTGTTGAGGCTTCCCCTCGCAACATTCCACTGGCAACCAACAAGGCCAGAAACTCTACTCAAAACAACTCCTCTCCAGTTAAGGAGTTGTTCAACCAAAGTTTGTTAATTCTGATGAAGAGGGCTCATCAGAGGTAAAGCCAATGCTAGGCCCGTTAGTTTGCAAAGGACTTGGAACAGGTTGATGGAGTTCGCTACTATGTGGACTTGGAGTCAAGGAAGCGTTGAGTAATCTAGCTACCTCAGTGGCAAGTTATTATCACTTCCTCCAAAACATCGACGGAGGAATAGGTTCTAGTTAAAAGAACTCGTCCGACAAAGAAGGAGCACATCCAAAAGCAATACGCACGTACCGCACACGCTCATGATCTTGTGCGAAAGGCACAAGAAATGAAGAAGAAAGAGGTGGCTAAAGAACCACCAAAGATCCACAAAGATTGGGTTTCAAAGGCTGAACTTGCACATACTTGAAATCAGAACACAACAGAAAACGCCTCCTTTGGCCGAGACGGGGAACCTGTCTCGCCCAAAGGAGCTTTGGCCGAGATAGTTCCCACTGTCTCACCCAAAGGAGGTCTCCCGCGACCACCTTTTTGCCACCTTCGGCATCTGTTCCAGGTCCATCCTCTGCGACCACTTCTACCACGTCGCCGGTGAAGCCTTGGGCCAGTCCTGACCTCTCAAAGTTCAAAATTACTATGACTGATTGTCTTGGTCCTCTGCACGAAGATCGAGGAAAAGCACCGGCGAAAGAGCGCTTAGGTCTGGTGGCCAAAACCCAAGAAGCTCCGCGGACTGGGGGTCATACTTGCACTCCCATCAAGCCAACTGCTGCTCAAAGGTGTCCCGCCACCTCTAAACAAACCGAGGCACCTCAATGTACTTATTCGTGCGCCTTGCACAAGAGGGGCAAGGAGGCCTCCCTTTCTGGGAGAATTCCTATCACCTCTCGCCTGGGGGTCCGTGTTAGAACATAGGAGGCTGTTAAAACTCCACACTCTCAAGGGGGTGGTTCTTAACGTGTAACTCCTAACGTGACCTTGGATCGTTCAAAGGCAACAATAAATGATCTTGAGAATGTTAACAAGGTTCTACATCCCCAAAAGAAGACGTGTTCATCAAAAAACAACGTTATACTTAGGGAATCATACCAACAAATGATGGGGTGCTCCGGTCACCATATCGATGAGTTGTACTATCAGACTGGGTGTGTGAGCAAGAGTCTAAAGAGGACCATTCGAGAAATAATCTCTCGTTGTTCATGTGAGAGGCTTATTAAAGCAGTACTGTCAGAATGTAGCTGCTCCAAAGCCATCTCTCAAAGAGTCTCGGTGTTCCAGAGACTTCCCACATCGTTA